GTGACCTCGGCCTTCATCGACCACTTCGGCTTCAACGACGAGGAATTCGGGGAGCAGGAGGAGAGTGTCAAGTGTGTGTCTGCCCGGAACACCCCCCCCACCCCCGCACCCGCTGCCCCACACTCGCTGATGGGGTGCACTGGGGAACAGGACCACTAGGTGGCACCAGATCCACCTTCTCTGCTGTGGGCCAGGAGCCAGGACTCCTGGGTTCTCGCCCCAGCTGTGCCATGGCTCCTGTCGGTGCCGCGCCTTTTGGGGTGACCCCCCCCCGGCTCATTCACACTAACTGGGGGTTCTGCGCAAACGAACCCCTGTGCTTTCCGGGGGGACGCTGAATGTGTGCGTCTAACCCAGCTTTGCACGCGGTATCCCGTCGGCCCCCCTGCCTCCCCGGGGACCCCCATGTGGCGGGGGGCTGTGTGACGAAGTGGGGGGGAGTCCGGGACAGGCTGACACCCCATAACCCCTCTCCTTGGCTTCCTGCCTCCCCGGAGACCCCGCGTAGAGCAACAGGGTAGCGTCACATCAGACCCACCCCACCACCACCACCGCCGCCATGGGGCCAGGGTGCTGGCAGTAGTGCCCCCTGCCTGTTGAGCAGCCCCCCCCCTCGGTGTGGGGCACCCCAGCCCCCCCGCAAACCCCTCTCGGCTTCATGTCTCTGCTTCTCTTTTTCTCTCCGCTGCCTCCAGCGCCCACTTCCGCCAACTCAAGAGGTAACAACCCCCCCGCACCCCCCTCCCAGACCCCCGGCAGGGGCATGTGACAGCAGCCGGACCCCTCCCCATCCCCAAGAGCAAGGGGGTGGCGAGGAGAACCCCATTTCAACCCCCCCGGCCCTTTCAGGAAATCCCACCATCGGGGACTCAGCTGGGCACGGCTCCAGGCAGCGCAGGGTTAACCGTCCCAGCAGCCCTTGGGGCCCCAACTGCCCTCTGCACCCATGGGCAGTTCCCCCCCCCCCCCCCCCCGCTCGGGCTGGCACCCCCTTTCCTAGCACATGGGAGGGGAGTGGGGTCTGGTGGTTAGAGCGGGGGCGGGGCTGGGAGCCAGGACTCCTGGGTTCTCTCCCAGCTCTGGGAGGGGAGTGGGGTCTGGTGGTTAGAGAGGGGTCTAGCAGCAGCCCCTCAGCTGCTGGTCTCTTCCCAATGCTTGTGGTGGGGGTGGCCAGCGGCACCCCCCGTTTGATGCGGGCTCGGCCCCCTGTCATGGTGCGTTCTCCGTTCCAGCGCCCCCTTCGACAGGACGGGCAGCCTGAGCTTCTCGCTGAGCGCCGACGACGACAGTGTGAGTGCTCCCCACCCCCGATGTCCCCCTGGCTCTGCGTCCCAACCCTACTGCCCCCCTCACCACCTTCCCTAGCCCCGCATCACCCCCCGCCCCGCCTCTGCTGTGCCCTCTGCCCTTCTCTTAACGCCTGCGCCACCCTCCCATGGTGCCCCCCATTCCCAGCATCACCTCGCCGAGCGCCGATGACAAGCGCATGAATGTTCCCCCCGTGGCCACCCCCTTGTCCCTCCCGTCGTGCCCCCAGCCGGCGCCCTGACTCTGTCCCCTTCCCCCAGCCCAACTCCAACCTGTTTGAAGTCTGCTACAAGGAGCGGATCCAGCAGTTTGATGACGACGACTCGGACGGGGAGGACGCCTGGCAGGAGAAGGAGCTGGGCTACTCGGGGGGCCCCTCGCAGCCCGCAGGGCCCAGGTACTGGCCCCCAGTGACTCCAGGGGGGCAGGCACGGGGCCTCCTGGTCTCGGGGGCAGCCAGGATGCCTGGGTTCTCTCCCTGCCTCTGGGAGGGGAGTGGGGGCTAGTGGTTGGAGCAAGGGGGGCTGGGAGCCAGGACTCCTGGCTTCTCTCCCCAGCTCTGGGATAAATACCAGGTTGGGTGAGCTCATGGATCTGATCAGGGATGGCAGGGAGAGGACGGGATACCAGGGTAGATGGGCCCATGGCTCTTATTCAGGGACAGGGAGTGACGGGATACGGGGTAGGTGGGGGAGGGGGATACCAGGGCAGATGAGCCCGGGGGGGCTGATCTGGTGGGCGGGGGGGACGGGATACCGGGGTAGATTGGCCATGGGGCTGATCCTGGGGAAGGTGGGATACTGGGGTAGATGGGCCCATGGGGCTGATCCGGGGGTGGAGGAGGTGGGATACCAGCGTAGATGGGCCCGTGGGGCTGATCTGGGAGGTGGGCGGGAGGCCGGGGTTGATGGGCCCGTGGGTTGGGTCTGGGGAGGTTGCGGGATACTGGGGTCGATGGGCCCGTGGGGCTGATCCGGGGGCAGGGAGCAGGTGGGATACCGGGGTAGATGGGCCCGGGGGGCTGATCCAGGCCCATTCTCTCCCTGCGGCAGGAGCTGCGGCAGCACGGACAGCGAGGGCAGCCGGGACTCGGAGGAGGAGGAGGGCGAGGAGGAAGACGCTGGCGGGGGCGTGGAGGGCGGAGGAGGAGGAGGAGGTGGCGAGGCCGAGGGTAAGACCCCAGTGGAGAATGGGGTGTGTCCAACGTGGGGGGGCGGGGGGGGGTGGAGCCAGAGGAGGGGGTTGGGGGCTGGCTCTGGGTGGGGTGGTGGTGTCTAGGTAATATATGTAAATTAGATGGTGCATATTCATTAAACATGCAAATCAATGCCTCACTTCCTACTTTCGGGTGGTGGCCAGCCCAAGCCGCTGCGCCCAGTGGGTGCCGGTGTTGCCCACTGGCACCAGGCAATCGGAGCAACAGGCCTCTTCCCGGCCCTGACGCCGCTCTCTGCTCTCCCTTCTCAGGGGCCAGCCCTGACCCGGAGCCTGCAGAGCCCCCAGCTCCGCTCCCCCCCAACGGCGGGGTGGACACCGGGGTGGCTGTGTGGGACAGGCCCGGCTCGGACACCTCCCGCCCCCCCACGGAAGGGAGCTGGGCCCTGTTTACAGACACCCCAGCGCAAACCAGGTGAGACCCAACCCCCTCCGCCCCCCTCGGCCTCATCTTCATTGGCCTCGGGGGGGCACCAGCTGCTGTGGAAGACGGGATGCCGGGGTTGATGGGCCCGTGGGTCGGGTCTAGGGAGGGGGCAGGAGGCCGAGGTCGATGGGCCCCGTGGGTCGGGGAGGGAGGCCAGGGTCGATGGGCTCGTGGGTTGGGTCCGGGGAGGGGGCGGGAGGCCGGGGTCGACGGGCCTGTGGGTCAGGTCCAGGGAGAAGGCAGGAGGCCGGGGTCGATGGGCCCCGTTGGTCTGGAACGGGGAGGGAGGCTGGGGGTCGAGGGGCCCATGGGTCTGACCCAGTTTGGGGCGTATTTCTGCAGCCCGTCAGACGCCCCGTCAGGCTCTGCCCAGGGACCCCACCCTCAGGAACCGACAAGCAGCAATGTATCTTTGGGGGGAGGTGAGTGTCACCGCGGCAACCTGACCCCCCTTCCCCCCAGCATTGACCCCTGGGCTGTGAGCCCTGGGGTGGCCGTGGGAGCGGGGCGGGGGTTGCATCACCCTTCCACCACCGGCCCCTGCGGTGGGGGTCTTCCTCGGGGGGGGGCAGGGGGATGGATCTTGAGCCCATGGGTCTGAGCTAAGCCGGGGGAGGGTGTCTGGGCCCGTAGGTTTGATCTTGGGGGCTCTGGGGGTGAGGGTGGCTGGGCCTGTGGATCTGGGCTGGGGGGAGGTTGGGCCCATGGGGCTGGAGGGGGGTGGGGGTCAGAACGACCATGTTGGTGGGCCCCTAACGCCCCCTCTCTCCAGCAGCCCCCCCGGAGCCCCCCCGTGCGGGATCACCCTGCGAGAGCAGCGACCCGGCGCCGAACGGCCAATCGGCACCTCCGCCCGCCCCCGCCGCAGCCAGGCCAAAGTAACGCCGGGGGCGAGGGGGAGGGTCAAACGCGGGGTGCCAGCGCCCATGTGGGGGGGGAGGGCGGGGGGAAGGGTGCCCTAGGACATGGCTGAACCCGGGGGTGGGGCTTGTGGGGTGGGGGAGGAGCCAGCCCTGGCCCCACCCCTCACCCAGCTGTTTCTCCCCCCCAGCACGGAAGGGGCCCCCCTATCTACCTCCGACGCCAGCCAGCGGCTCCCGGGGGCCGCGGCCGCCCCGAAGGCGGAAAACAGCGCCCCCCTTAGGCAGCAGCAGCCAGCAGCCAGGTGAGCTCTGACCCCTCCCCCCCTCCCCCTGGAGGAGCGCTCAGCCGGTGGGGGGTCAGCTCGATGGGGGGCTGCCTGGTGGGAGGGGCTCAGTAGGGGGGATCCCCCTCAGGATCGGGGGGGCGCTCAGCCTGTGACCCCATCAAATCCTGTGCATGGGGGGGTGTTAAATTGGCCTAGGCTGGGGAGATGGGCCCTGGGTTGGGAGGTCCGGGCAGACGGGGTGGGGGGGTCCCCAATTTGGGAATGGGGGGGGCGATGGAACAGTGATGACCCCCCCCCTTGTCTGTCTCTGTCTCCTCCCCAGATAAAGCTCACAGAGGGCGCCTGGGGAAGCTGCTGATCGTGGGGGGCTGGGGGGAGCCCCCCCTCCCGGAGCCCGGCCCGCCCAAGGAGAGCCCATTCCCGCGGGTGGGGGCAGCATAGGACGGGGGGGCACAGTCCTCTCCATCACAAGATGCTTATGGCGAGACAGCTGAGCCCCCCGCAGGCAGGCTGGTGTGAGCCCCCCCGGCATGGCCCCCCCACCCCCCCCTTTTTTGCACTGAAATCGGCGGCAGGGCGACAGAATTCAAAGCGAATCGTTGGGAGAAGTGACTCTGGGAAGCACTAACCCCGCCCCCCCGCCGGCCCCCACTTCCCATGCCGGCCCCCCACCGTGCTTCCAACCCCCGAGGTTAGCTGCCCCCCTCACAGCCTGCCCCACCTCCCCCCTCTGCTCCCCTGGTGGCCAGGCACGGGAAGGGGGGCCCCTCCCCACACAGATTAGATTTTAAACCCCCCCCCCCCCTGTTCCAGCATAAGCACAACACCAACTCTACCCCGCCCCCCCCCGTCGGGTCCAGGGCCTCAGCCAGGGGTGGGGCTCTGCCCCCCCCAGAGCCCAGCTTAGTTGTGGGGGGGGGGAGAAATGCTGGAGGGAGGGGGGGGGGCGGAGGGTGGACATGGTGGGCGGGACTAGGAGCTGTTGGGGGTGGGGCCAGGGGGAGTGTTGGGGGCGGGGTTGGGCATGGGTAGGTGGGGCCCATGGGGAGGGGGTGAGTGTGGTGGGTCGGGCTGGGGGTGTGGGGGGGGGGCACTACAAGGGAGGGGTGGAACTCAGGGCTGTGGGATAGATCCGTGTCCCTCCCTCCCCCCGGCTGGTTCTGACCCCCTTTTAACCCCATGTTTTCCGCTCCCCCTTGTTATTTATTTCCCTGGCCTGGGGGGCTGGAGCTGCCCCGTCTCCCTCAAGCAGAGGTGTTGGGGGGCAGAGATGGGTCACGCCCCAGGAAACAGCACCAGCCGGTCAGAGTGGAGGAAGGAACAAGTAGTTCCCCTCCCCCCCCCCCCCCCCCCCCCCGGGTACTTTTCAAGTGGGGGAGGGGATGCGAACAGCCCACAATGCACCTGCCCTTTTGGACACCTTCCCCCCTCCCGACTCAGTGGCCTCCCCTCCTGGATCCCACTTCTCACACCAGCACTGGCTCAGACCACAGCCCATCTGCGGGGGAGCAGAGCCGCCTGCCCCCCACCTCCACAGGGACCACAATGGTGCCTGGACCTCCCGCTGTCTTCCCCCCCCCCCCGGCGGAAGGTCTAGGAGGGCCCCAGTCCAACCCCCGCTCTGATGGTCTCCCCCTCCATTTGCCCCTGCAGGGGAGTTAACTCTTTGTCCCCCCTTCCCCACAATTGGGGGGGGGGTATCTGGGTACCGAGGGGCAGCTCCCTCCCCCGTGGTAGGGGCCTCAGGTCCCTCAGCCTCCCCAAACCCACCCTGTAGCAAATCTGGAGGGGGGGGCATACGGTACAGAGAGGGGGTCTCTTTCCCTCCCCACCTCAGGGGATTTGGGGCCCTTCAGGAGTGGGGGAAGGTTTATGGGGACCTAGGAAGTTCCTTGCCCCCATAGCTCAGGCTGTAGGGCATGGGGGGCTAGGGGTCCCCCACCAATCAGCAGGTGTCAGCTGAGGGGCTGCCCCCCCATCCCCCTCTCCACACTGATCTTCCCGGCCTCTCCAGAGAGGTTCTGCATTGCACTAGTTTTGGGGGGGATCCCAGGTGCTTGGGGGGGGGGGGGCGAGGCTGGAAGGGAGGCGTGGGGTCTGATCCTCTCCCCTTGCACAAAGAGACTTTGAAACAACACCCCCCCCCCACCCCCGCACGGCCCCTGGCTGGGGGGAGACAGGGCCAGACGCCAGGCCAGATGGGCCTGCGACGCACCTTTCTCCTTTTTAAAAGCACTGAATTCCCCCCCCCGCCCCCCCGGCCCCCTCCCAAAGTCAGCAGTAGCCAACAGTGATGTCCTGGTAGCCATCCCCCCTCCCCCGGCTACCCCTTTAGTGGCAATATTTAAAAGCTCTTAAACAGGAACCAAATCAAGTGGCCTTTTGGGGGTTGGCCCGGGGCCTCCCCGGCCGGCGACCATCCCCCCTGTTTCGTGGGTCCCCGGCTCGTCTCTTTTGTTATTTCGGATGAAAATAAAAAACAATGGTTAAAGCCTGAGCGTGCCGCGGCCTCCTTCCTGGGGGGCGGGGGGCAGCGCGCCGTGGGGGGCCCAGCCCCAGGGATTGCACCCAGGAGCCCGGGCTCCCAGCCCCCCTGAGCCCCACTCCTCCCAGCAGCTGCCTCCCTGTTATCAGCTGGTGCTGGGTGGGGATGAGGCGGGAGAAATCGATTTTATGTCTCTTCCCCCCCCCCCTCCGCTGCCGGTCTTATCTCTGGCTCTGTTGAACCCATGGGAGATGAAAGTCCAGGCGGGTGCCTGGAGTTGGAAGCAGCAGCCAGGGTGCGTCCCAGAGCCGCCGGCCCGGAGCCCCGGCCCCTCACCATGGACATTCTCGAGACGGACGCCCGCTACCGCCGGAACATTGCGGCTGATGTAAGGAGGGGGAAACTGAGGCACAAAACGGGGACAAGTGGTGGGGGGCGGAGACTCAGTGGCCTGGCTCCCAGTTCCCTTCCCCCAGCCCTGCTCTAAGTCACTAGGCCCCACTCCTCTCCCAGAGCTGGGAAGAGAACCCAGGAGTCCTGGCTCCCAGCCCCGCCCCCCCTGCACTCAACCCCAGTGTCCTCCGTGTGTCGTGCTGCTATTATGGTTCCTGGGACTGAGCCGGTAAATCAAGGTGGGATTTCCCTGCAGCTGTTTCCATTTGCATCGTTTCCCGTAGCCCGCCTGAGCTGGGTGGCGCTGCTGGGCCCATGGGGGAAGGGAACCGGGGCTGGTAGCAGGTTCAGCGTGGATAGCCCTGATCGCAGTGACGGCCTGGGTGACCTTGAAGGCACAATATCAGTAGGTTTCAGAGTTAACGCCCTGTTGATGTGAATGGGGCAAGCTCATGGCAGAATTGAGGGACAATTAGGAGCAAAGTTATCTGCCTCTTCCTGCCCAATCTCCTGGGGATTAAATACTTAACAAGGGGCTAGCGCCAGCTGGTTTCAAAGTTAAAGCTGCTACTTTGGCATCAATAGGAGCAGAACTTCACCCTTCGACGAAGCAGCATGAACTTGCTCTTCCTGCTAAACGGTGAAATAGTTGTTAAATTGTGCCATCGGTAGGTTTCAGAGTGAACGCCCACTAGGGTGAGTGGGCCTGGGCCCAGTGTTTACTTTGGGTGGGTGGATGTTTTAGGGTTGGTGTAGTGCCTGGGTTCAACTGGAAATTCCTGGGGAAAACCTAGCTCGGCTATGAAACTGGAAAGTTGTGGTTGAAGCGATGCTGGCAGTAGCTTTTGGAGTTCACACACAGCGCCAGGAAAGAGGGGCTGGATCAGGAATGGGGTCAGGGATAGAGCAGGCGTAGCGGGATGTTGCTGTGATTGCTCTGGCAGCTGAATTACCAAGGACGATGTGTTACATGAGAGCCGTAGGTTTCAGAGTTAACACTTCATTGAGGTGAATGGGGGGGGGGGTCACTTCCCAGCCCCACTGGGAGGAGGAGGCAGGAGATGAGACGAGTCGATTTAGCTAGGATATCTTGGTGGGAAAATAGTTAATAAGGCTGGTCTCTTTTGGGTTATCAGTAGGTTCCAGAGTTCACGAAAGAGTCGTAAAAAGGGAGTTAAGTTCCCAATTCCAATAATTAGAAGGCCATAGACAGTAACTCCTCACTTAACGTGGTCGTTACGTTCCTGAGAAATGCGACTTTATGCCAAACGATGTTAAGTGAATCCAATTTCCCCAGAAAAATTAACGTCAATGGGGGGGTTCGGTTCCAGGGAAATTTATTTCTCCAGACAAAAGCCGCAATAGACGGAGACAGTCGAAGTTTGAAACAATTGAATACTGGACCCAGCGACGAATGATTGTGAAGCCTGGGAGAGGTTGGGGGGTCAGAGGGTGGATATTTCCCGGGGGATGCCTGGCTGCTAAACGGTGAACTAGCCCTCGCCTGAGCCCTCAAGGGTTAACACGCTGTTGTTAATGTCGCCTCACACTCTACAAAGGCAGCGTGGGGGAGGGAAACACGATAGACGCCGGGGGGGGGGCAGTGACTGCAACCCCTGACCCGGATGATGGGCCCCTGCCGGAGCCGACGACTCCCCCTTCCTGTCCTGACAGTGCCTGCCTGGCCGCACAGGCGCTGACTTTCCAAAGTGCTGGGGGGAAGGGGGGGGAAGAGAGACGTGTGTTGCCCCTTTAAGTACGCTCCCCCCCACTTCAAGTACATTGCCCTTTTAAGCAGATCAGACAGGAAGCAACAGCTCCCAGCATGCTCCCCCTGCCCCCCCCTTCTGTCCCCGAGCCCTGTCCCCTCCTTTGCCTTGTGGAGAGGGGGTACAGCGCGGGGGGGGCAGGAGTGGGGGGACATCCTGACATCTGCACCCCTCTCCCCCCGCACAGCAAGCAGGGGCAGTGGGGGGAGGGCCCCCTGAACCGGTGCTGGGCACCTGCTGAGCCGCATCCCTTGCAGGGAATTTAGGGGAGCTGACGGGGGGCCCCTGGTTCTAATCCCCACGAGGATCCCACAAGCAGTGCGCAAAGCAGGCAGCTGCCAAACGACCTCATGAGGGAGCATTGCGCAAGTTTAAAGGCGCCTGTTCCCTAAGGGCAGTGTTAGGTGAGGAGTCACTCTGCACTGGGTTATCGATAGGTGAGCCAGGGATCCGCGTTGATTGTATTCAGTCGGCTGTCAGTAGTTTTCAGTGTTAACACCGTGAAGTAACCAACAGGTTACTTTGGGTGTTGGTTACGACAGATTATCGTTAGGTTTCGGAGTTAACCTAGCAAAATAACTGCCCAGACCCAATTTATAAGAATCGATATGTCTGTTGTTTCCCCCGTTAACTCTGAAACCGAATGACACCCCATTTCCCAACCCTGGTGTGTCGGTAGGTTTCAGAGTGAACACGGTGAAATAGCCAGACTGAACATTACTATGGACTCATGGTGTCACAGTTAATACGATGACCGTTAACAGGCTCGCGCTTACAGAGTAGGTCATCAGTAGGTTTAAGAGTTAACAGGTGTGACGATTAGCTTTGGAGCATGGGTAGTCCTCAGAGTTGACCCCAGTGGGAAATGACACGTGATTGCTGTCTGAGTCACACGGCATTGTTCCCTGCTCCCTGATTGGACCGAGGGATAGTCCCCAGGCCGGGCGTGCCGTGCTCTCCCTAGTGTAGACGGGCCCCAGACGTGTCGATTTCCACCCCCCTCTGCAGGCCAAGAGCCGCCGCCTCAAGCTACTGCCGTTCCTGGCCGCCTGCGGCCTGTACTTCGCCCTGCTGCTGCCTGAGCCCAGCTGGGTCAGCGCCGGCGTCAAGAGCCTCCCGGTCCTGAGTCTGGTCTTCTTCCTGACGGCCCAGGCCTGGGGTGACGGCGCCTGGACCCCGGCCGCCCGCCGGGTCTGCTGGGGGCTGATGTTCTCCAGCATGGGAGACGCCTCCCTGGTCTGGCCTCAACTATTCCTCCTAGGTACGGAGTCAGGAGTGAGGGGCAGCGGCAGGGCTGGGGGGAGCCCAGGGCTGGGCTAGCAGGGGCTGCGGATCGGGAGTGAGGGGCACTGGTGGGGGAGGGGAGGGGAGGGG